GTGAGTGCTTGTCCTCTATAGCAAAAATCTCCCCAAAAAACCCCCAACAAAAACAGAAAAAAGAAAATGGACAGCCCAATTAAAAAAACAAAAATGACCTGAACAGACAGCTCACCAATGATATACAAATGCTGAATAAGCCTAATAAAAGATGTTCAACATCATATTCCATTAGGGAAATACACATTAAAACAATATTAGGTAGCACTATACACCTATTAAAATGGCCAAAATCAAACACAGTGACAAAAGCAAACACATGGAGCAACAAAAACTCTTTTTTTTGAGAGTTTTTTGTTATAGGGCATGTGCATTTGCTGCAGAGGCAGAGTCAGAGAGAAAGAAAGCAAAAAAATCACCCCCCAGGGTGTTGAACCACAGTCAACTATGTGGGAGTCCAGTGGCATAATCATTATGCCATCTGCTGGTCCCCAAACTCTTTTTCATTGTTGATGAGAATGCAAAGTTGTATAGCCATTTTAGAAGACAGTTTGGCAGTTTCTAACAAGACTGTATGTATGTACTCTGACCGTTTGATCCAGTAGTCACACTTCTTATTTACCTAAATGAGTTGAAAACTATGTCCATACGAAAACCTGTGCACTGATATTTATAGCAGTTTTATTTATAATTACCAAAACTTGAAAACAAGATGTTCCCCAATAAGAGAATGGATAAACACACCTGTACATCAGACAATGGGATATTCCTCAGTGCTAATAAGAAATGAGCTATCATGCTGAAAGAACTTAAAGGCAGCTTAAATGCATAGTACTAAATGCAAGAATGTAGTCTGAATACTAACTACCAGGTGAGTCCAGTCATGACATTCTGGCAAAAGCAAAGCGATGAAGACAGTAATATGTTTAGTGAGTTCCAGCGGTTGGGGAAGAGCAGGATGCAAAGATGGAGAAGAGAGGATTTTTAGGACAATGAAACTACTCTGTATGACTTTATAATATGGGTGGGTAGAGACTTGTCAAAACCCATGGAATGTACAACCCCATGAGTGAATCCTAATGTAAACTATGGACTGTGAATGACAACGTAGGTTCCTTGTTTGTAACAAATGTGCCACTCTGGGGCAGGCTGTTGAGGAGAGAGGCTGTGAGCTTGTAGAGAGAAGGGAGTATGAGACAATTGTTTGTATTTCCCTGCTCTATTTTGCTGTCAATGGCCCTAAAACTGACCTAAAAAAAATAACTCTATATAAAAGGGAAAAGAAAAGTGACTGTGCATCAGCTTTGCTTGAGGCCGCCCACTTGATACACCTGGGCTATAGGTTAGGAGGGGATTATACTATCTGGGATCATGTCTCCCTGGTTACCCATGTGGCCTCAGGGCCATCATAGCTAAGCACATTGCAAACGGGTCATTCTCAAGAGAGTTGTGAGTTTATATGAACACTTATTTCTGGGAAGTAAGTGTCAGTTCTGGATTTGCTCTTTTCTTTCCATGAGCAAACTTGGCACCATGTTTCTTCCCATGCCGTCCAGGAAGTAGCTGTATTAGAAAGAAAGGAAAATGATGGCACTGAGCTGAAATTATTGAAGCCCTACTATATAACACAGGATTTTGCTCATTTCTCTACTCTGATCATCTTCAATGACTAAAGTTCAAATTGTATGCGTTATCTCTCAGTTACTTGGTAATGATTGGTTTTACCCTCAGATATTTATCTTTTGCACAATCTCCTTTTGATGATTTTTTGTAAAGCTCTGTCCTTTAAAATAGTCTCTTATTTCTCTCTACCAGAGGCAAATTTCATTTATAATATATTCTTTACAGGAAAGTCATCTTTATTTTATTTTAAATACTAGAAAATATACATCCTTTTCCTACAATGTTTTCATAAATCCTTTGCTTGTTCATTTCTGAATCAATTCCATCCCTACTTATGTAATTATGATATGTGATAAAACATTGTTCTTTTTTAATAAGGATGCTTGAGGCTTTTTCATATGCATGAATTAGATGAATCATTTATTATCATATTATTATAATTTCACTTGATAAGAATAATTTTCTTTTCTATTTAGCTTCAGGAAACTTTTCCAGAACTCGTTCAGTTATAGATTCAAAATTTTTGAAAGTTGTGGGACCTTCATTCCTGGTGCCTGAGGCTCTCTTCTCAAAGTCATTACACAGCCAATCAACTCAGTTAAAAAAAAAAAACAAAACAGTAGTTTAATGTTGTATATTCAAAACAACTAATAGAATAAAGCTTTTCACTTTTAAAAGGCTACATTTTGCTTTAAAAATACTTCACTTTCTCTCCTACAGCAAGATATATTCTGTAACATTCGATAAACTTGGAACCAGCAGATGGTGTAATAACTATGTCACCAAACTCCCATGTAGTCGATCACAGTTCGAGTCTCGGACTCCGAAGACAAAACAGTAGTTTAATGTTGTATATTCAAAACAACTAATAGAATAAAGCTTTTCACTTTTAAAAGGCTTCATTTTGCTTTAAAAATACCACTTCACTTTCTCTCCTACAGCAAGATATAGTCTGTAACATTCGATAAACTTGGAACCAGCAGATGGTGTAATGACTATGTCGCCAAACTCCCATGTAGTTGATCACAGTTCGAGTCTCGAACTCCGAAGATTTAAACTCACGCTGGGTGCGTGTGCATGTGTGCCCAAGATCCCGAGAGGAGAATGAAGGAGAAGGGATTGTGGTGTGGCCATTCCCCCCCCCCCAGGGGGTGATTTCTCGCTTTCTGTATCTCTGTCTCTCTATTTTTCTGGAGAGCGCATGCACCCTATAGCTAAAGACTCTCAAAAAAATTGGTAAACTTTATAGGTAATAGTATAATTGTCAATTTCCTATGAATTACACTGCTAATTAATCAAGTGTGAGTTTAATCAAGGCTCAAAGTCATTGCTGTCTTTCTCAAAGTTGGCATAATACAAATACTTTGAATAAAAATATTAAGTTATGATCCATGTCTAGAATAATAAATACATATTTATATACACACAATATAAAGACATACATATATACAGACATGAATATTCATATTCATATGTCTCATCTATATAAGGAACATTATTTTAATTTTAAGACATATTAAAGGCCATGAGCGAACTAGGTTCTCTGGAAAATGTGTTTTTTAGTTTGTAATGTGAACTTGGTTCTCTAGAAAATGCGTTTTTTACTTGTAAATGGAAGACTTTATTGACAGAGCTAGTTAATTTTTCATGTTTGTGGGACTGTATATGCATGATCACAAATGGATATGTAACACTTTAAATTTTTTACTTAACCCAAATATCCATCATAAAATAGTGCACTGAGTGTCTCACTTCAAATTACAGGACAAAGAATGTTGACTATTGCATATGATGTTTAGAATCAGTCTTATCACTTGCATTATCTTGGGTATGTACATAGACCTAGTTCTTTAAAGTGGTTTTCTGATAGATGTTTTTTAGTCTTGATATATGTTTAAATACTTCCTGCCTAAAATCTTTGTTCTAGAGTCCACACTCTGCAAATGTTTTCTATCATCACACTTTTTAAAAATTATTTCTGTTTTGCCATAGGGTGTGTGTGCTCACTAGAGAGAGACAAAAGAGAGAAAGTAAGAAATTAACCCCCACCCCTCCCACCAGAGGGGTTGGTCATACCACTCTCCTTTCTCCTCCACTCTCCTTTCAAGATTTTGGGCATGCATGTACATTGCCTATGGTATTTTTTTAGGGAGCTGGGTGTAGTTGGCCATGTGGGGTACAGCCTCCTCAACCACCATGCCACCAGGTGGCCCTTCACAGGACACTTGGACAACCATGCTGGGAAGCATAAATTATTCCACGAAGTGGAAACTTAACCTCTTATTAAATCAATATTACTATGATAATGACACTTCTGAGCACAAGTTGTGAAGTGTTCAGCACAGCAGCAGGAAAATAAGCTTGGGTATATTTGCCACTAATATAATGGCTTGAAACAAGTATCAGTCAATATACATCTCCATAAGATAATTTTTAGTATGTTGTTAAGGTACTGATTTCCTCCAAAGAATGACTTTCTGTTTAAAATCTATTATATAAAAAGAAAGTTTTAGAGCAAAGAAAAGTATAAATCTATGTTGCATTGTGTCTCGTGTATAACTCACACTTTTTATTTTAAACATATGTATTGCAGGAGTTATTAGAACTGCCTTACATAACATGGACAGAGAAGCCAGAGAACACTATTCTGTGGTCATTCAGGCCAAAGACATGGCTGGACAAGTTGGAGGGCTTTCAGGATCTACCACAGTCAACATCACCTTGACTGACGTCAATGATAACCCACCGAGGTTTCCTCAGAGTATGTACCTCTTTCCTATGATTTGAATTTATCACTATCCATATATGAAAAACAAAATGAAATACTTGAATATGTAATGCTGGGTTTTCTTAATTAGGAATAGTTTGGTGTTGTGCTATTTTATCTCCCTTAAATAGGGAAAGCCAAAAAGAAAGAAAAGTGTCATCCAACCTATTGTCTCCTACAAACAAGAGATAACTGGAACCATATTAAAAATATGAATTTCAGTTGGAAAAATAGTTAAATATTAAAAAAGATGTGGAGTTACGAAGCAATGACCGTGAACATTTACTGAAGTAGTTCCATATTGTCTTCAGGGGGATGTTGAAAATGATTTGTGATATGAGCATTCTACACATTTAATGCTTTTCCATATGTACTTCCTGTGACTGAATATGTTTTAAAGAATCATTCATGTTATGAATGAGTATTCTAAATAGTTAAATATTAAAAAAGATGTGGAGTTACGAAGCAATGACCGTGAACATTTACTGAAGTAGTTCCATATTGTCTTCAGGGGGATGTTGAAAATGATTTGTGATATGAGCATTCTACACATTTAATGCTTTTCCATATGTACTTCCTGTGACTGAATATGTTTTAAAGAATCATTCATGTTATGAATGAGTGTTCTAAAAACACACGTGCGCACACACACACACCATTATAAAACAAGTTATGGACAATGACATGAGGTGTGCTCTCAAGAGTCAAATATTAACCTTGAAAACAAAAAGCAAAACCCAGCAGGCAATTAAGGGGGGGGGAGGGAAGTGTCAGTCCTGGGAGTTTGGAAAAGAGATGGTGTTTACAACAGCACAGGATGAAAAGCATATAGTTACAACATATCTGAGTACTTCTAAGACAGCATATACTTTGGTGACAGTTTATACAACAATCTAAGTATTATAAAAATCCTACGGGAGCTGTTCTTTATATATATCTTACAAAAGATGATTAAAACTGTAGTAGGGACCAGCACATGGCAGAATGGTTATGTCGCTGGACTCCCATGTTATTGACCAAGGTTCAAGTCCCGGACTTGGCAGCTTCAAACTCATGCCAGGGTTGTGTGCATGCCCAAAATCCCAAGAGTATACTGGAGAAGAAGGGGTTGTGGTGCAGCCATTCACCTCTGGCAGTTGATTTATCACCTTCTGTCTCTCTGTTTCTCTCTGTCTCTCTGGAAAGTGCACATGCCCTATAGCAAAAATCTCTCACTTAAAAAAAAAAGTTTAATAGACATGGTGGTATATCAGTAAAGAGTCTTCACCAGGTTATGAGAAATGCCTTTCCCAGTTTAGTAGCATTCTCTGTACACCCCCAGGCTGAGTCACTAGGGAAAATTGCCTGTTCCTAAAACATGATAACACATTGCACATCCTTACTTCCACTGGAATTTCTCTGCATTCACACTACATTGTTTACAATGCCTGGAATTAGTTTCTCTGAATTCTCTGTCATAGAATTAGCAGAGAATCATCCTTTTTATTCCCTTTACAGAACTCCGTTTTGTGCATGTTCATGCTATACTTGCTTTCATAGGTATTTATCCTGTACTGCTATGAGGGCCTCTAAGTAGCAATTATGTGTGAATTATTTTTGAAATCATAAAGGTTCAACCCAGTGTCCCAAACTTGGTAAAAGCTTATTTGAGTCAGTGAATTAGATGAATATAAATATGCTGTCAAACTACCATTATTAAAAGACCCTTATTAAAAGACATGCAAGTCAAGTTAATAGCTAAATAAAAACCACATTGAATTTTTGGTCTTATAGCGATGATGTGACCTGGTTCACTATATGGACTTCACTCTCCAGCAAATGTTCAAGAGAAAATTAAAGCTCATAGAGGAGTTCACATTATATTGAACCTTAAAATATAATTATACTTTAAATCATTTTACAAATTTTCATGTCCTTTTGTGTCCACTAGTCCCTGCAATATACACACATATGTACATACACATATATTACATAACAGACAAATTTTCTTATTTCATAGGTTGAAGCAACTGATGTTAAAAGATAAAAAAAAAAAAAAGAGGGAAAAAAATGGGTACCAGCAGATGATGTAATGGTTACATTGTTGGACTCCCACATAGTCAACCATGGTTTGAGTCCCAGACCTGGCAGCTAAAAACTCACGCCGGATGCATGTGTGTGCATGCTGAAGAATTCTAAGAGGAGAATGGAAGAGAAGGGATTGCAGCATGGCCACCACCCTCCCTCCCAGCCTGGGGAGATTATCTCTTTTTGTCTCTCTGGCATACACTCGTGCATGATAGCAAAAATCTCTCTTAAAAAAAAAAAGATGCATGGTAATGGAATACTCACCTGAGTATAAACTTTATATAATTTATAAAACAATAGTGCCTACCTTATTTTCAAGAAGATTCAATCAATACAATGTTGAAGATCTGAGATGGATACCATAATTCAGCTGTGAAATATTGGTTTCCTTGAGCAAAAAGGAAGATTTTTCTTCTGAGACTTCTCTGTCCAGACTCATTTCTAGTGGGTAGGGATAGCTCTGTTAGCTCTGTGTCTCTTTCTATCCATTCTATTCTGTCTCTCTCTGTCTTTCTGTGACTTTTACTTTTTTTTTTTTTAAGGTCATTTAGGAAAAGTACCAGCCAAGCCAGGCCTATCCTGAAATGGATGCCATACTTCAGCTATGGTTTTATATGGTGCATACGCACCGTTTGGTTTTCATTTTTGCTTTTTAAAATGATAATCTTATGGCTTTTTTATGCTATTTTTTTTCTTTCTTCTTTTTATTTTATTTTTCTTTTTATTTACTCTTCTTATTTTTTTCCCGTTTTTCTTTACTTTTATTCATTTTCTGATCAGCCTCTATGCACTAAGTGTCTAGACAAGTACAAGTGAACAGTTTCCAATGATCTGAATATGATTAGGGTCAGAATATTTTCTCTTCACCTTGAATCTGATGCACAAAGAGTGAAAAAGAATAATAGAAAGATTGCAGATCACCTCCTTCTGCTTGCCTCTGAATGCTCAGATTGTACTTCAAGAATTAGGAAGTGCACCATCCGTCACATGACTAGAAATCACCGCAGGATCACAAGAAATACAGGAAGGGAAAACAAGACAATACCTCTCCTCCAAGGGAAAAGAATAATACCTCTTCATCCTCAGACAGTACAATGAAACTCATGGAAATGTCTGACAAGATTTTAGAATATTCGTAATGACAAAGCTAACAGAGATGGAAGAGAAGAGAGAAAATAAACTGCAGAAGAGACAGGAGAAAGGAGCTGATGAGTTCCAGGAGGTAAGGAAATTCTTGCAAGATATAAAAGAGGAAATACACACTCTAAAAAAGCATCAAATGGACCTGTTAGAGATGAAGGCTACAATACAGGAATTAAAAATCTTGACAGTATTAAAAGCAGACTGGATCATACAGAAAATCAATTCTCAGATGTAGAGGATAGAATCACTGACCTAGAAATATTCACAATGGGGACCAGCAGTTAGTGTAATGGCTATGTCGCTGAACTCCCATGTAGTCAACCATGGTTCGAGTCCTGGACCCAGTGGCTTTAACTCATACTGGGTGCGTGTGTGTGCATGCCCAAGATCCTAAGAGGAGAATGAAGGAGAAGGGATTGTGGCATGGTCATCCCCCCAGGGGGATGATTCCTCACTTTCTATCTCTCTGTCTCTCTGTCTTTCTGGCAAGCACATGTGTCCTATAGCAAAAAACTCTCCAAAAAAGAAAAAGAAAAAGAAAAATCCGTCATAAAGAAAAATGGCCCAAAAAATGAGAATAATATTCGAGAAATACTAGATACCATCAAACTTCCAAACATCCAGATAATTGGTATCCCAGAAGGCCAAGAGTCTCACAAGGGCATTGATAATCTATTCCATGAAACTCTGGAAGAAAACTTTCCAAACCTAGAGAAGCACTCAAAGATCTAGTCCCAAGAAATACAAAGGACCCCACATAGAATCAAGTCAAGAAGATTTTCTCCAAGACACATTATAGCCAAATTGACCAAAACCATAGACAAAGACAATGTATTAAAGTTGACTAGAGAGAAATGGCAAGTTACCTACAAAGAATATCCCCTCAGGCTAACAGTGGACCTCTCATCGGAAACAATGCAAGCAAGAAAAGAATGAGAAAATATATTCACATTATTAAGGAAAAAGCAATTTCAATCAAGAATACTGTACCCATCAAGATTATCCTTCATATGGAAAGAAAAGACAAGAATATTCTCAGATAAAACCAGAAAAATTTACCAACACACCAGATCTCCAAAAAGTTCTTAAGGGAGTACTATACCAGGAAAATTAAATATAGACACACATAAATAAGAGTTCAAAAACTAAGAAAATTGCCCACTTAATCTTAGAGATACATCTAGAATTGAATATTATATTCCAGAATTTAACTTGGAAGATCAGACCACAACAGAAGATAGATTAAGTACATAAGACTAAACTGGTGAAATAGCATTTTATGACTTTTGAGTAAAACATTGCTGACTTTCTTCTAGGTTTTGTTTTCCAATTTTAAGGATTTTTGTCCTCTCTTGAGCTGCTGGTAGGTTCATGTACCTACTATTTTAACAGAATCCTAACCCATATCCTGGCTTTAATTGCTAAGTAAATTTCCTTAGCATTTCTCTGATTTATTAAAGCTAAAACTGCTTTTCTTGAAATTAAAAATATATTTAAAAATACCTAAAATGACCACAGTAAGTGTTATAACATTCACTAGGTGCTACGTTAAAGTATATTCATTCTACTCAGAGTTTTACGCCTAAAATCAGACTGTATCGCTTAAGAAAAAGATAAAGGCATTATCAGACTGATGTGTACATACCAGCTAAACTTGCTATTGAAAGTAGTTAGATTACTTAAGAAATTTCGTGAGTCAATAAAATGTGGGGGAAATAAAGGGTTGGAAAACAACTGTAGACACCTAAGATTGTGTGTGAGGAGGGTTGGATGGGAAATCACAT